TCATGTGCTACCTTAAAATGTCAACAAATGCTTTGACCTACAGTTCCTATAGCTATAGAGAAAGGAACCCTGGTGATATGGACTTTTTTAAAATGTAGAAACAAAACCAGATTTACATTTGAAAAAAATTAAAAGCTCCAACTCCTTCAGCTACTTTGATGTGTTGCCACTTGTGGTGCCTGAAGTTGCCAGTGTTTTACCACTGAAATCATCTTCCCTGCATACACTCAGCTGACCTGCTCTTCCTCGATCAGGCCGGGGCAGCATCACAAGCTTGGGATCAACTTATTTTCAAATATTTATCTTGACAGAAAGTAATACAGATACCAGAGGTGACATTCATTGCAGTTTTTAAACCAACAAACACAGAATAAGAATGAAACACAGAAAAACCTTTAATGCCATTCATAAACCTGTACGAAGTCTGAAAGAAATATGTTGTGGTGTTCCTCTCTGCAAAACACTGCAATTAGTGTACACACAATAAATCTGACAAGTCCCAGGCACAGGCAACATTTTCCGTATCTGAAGGGAACACCACATGTATTTATCAGCTTAAGACCCTACAGTGTAACACATTGGTTTTTCTAAACATACTATTTTATGTCAATACATAATACACGAGGACAAAGTTTAACTCAGTCTCATCTTGTCTGGACCTGTGTGATGAAAAAAAAATCTGTAAATCTGGATTCAAACATAACTCTTGTATAATCTAAAACTGATTTTTAGTTCTCTAAGTAGATATTCTTCCTTCCAGTTCTATTCACCATGGTTTGACAGGTGATTTAATTACTTTATAAATGTCACTTGATTTTAGGAAAAGCCTGGAAGTATTAGTGGAAAGTAAAACTCTGAACATAGTAGAGGCAATGTGTGTGGGGAGGGAGGGTGTGGGGGTGGCAGGGGGGTAGGGCTGCAAGTGGCTGTGTCTTGTTTGCCTGCCAGCTAAGTTAAACTATCACAAAGATGTAATTGCTTTTTAGATATAAAATGCATCTTTGCTAAGATTTTGCTCAGCCTCAAGTAGTTATGTTGCAGTTGGCAACAAGAAAACTGAAAGTTCCAGGAAGAGTTAAGAGATGGTAATGATCTTTTTATATAAAATGCCAGTCGACACATAATGAAAACAACATGCAGATCCCCTATTTAAACTAAGCAACACCCATAGCTGTTAATTGACCAGTGATGTGAAGAAGAGAGTGAGCTGTACGTTAGCATATAGTCACAGGTGGAATCAGCCCAAGTACCCGATTCAGCTATTGAAAAGTGGGGAGACTCTTCCTGAACTGCTCAACACATATAAGGGTTACCCAAGAGGTACATAACCAGAGTTATGCTCAGTTACAGTTCTTCTATTTATTAGGACTAGTTTAAATGAGGCCTTAAAATCAGCCAAAAACCCTACTTTCCACTCCATCATCTAAGAAGCAGGAACTATCTGTATAGAAATCCTCCACAGACTAGGACCTAGCAGCTACTCAAATCAAGTCACATCATCAAGAAAAGAGCATTCCCTGTTTATCATTTTGCTTGATTCTTCCTCTGCAAGGAAAAAAAATAAAAACCAAAACCAAAAAAGCAAACCCACAGTAAAACTGTTGCGATGGTATGTAAATGTTCAAGAAAAAAAAGAACATATTCTCCAGTGTTAACTGCAAATTTTAAACCAGTTATCTGATGCAAGATTATGTTATTCCTGGGTGCTTATTAATTAAATTTCAGTTTATTATCTTTCATTCTTGGTTTATCTTCCTACCTTACACTTTGCTATCCTTAAAAACAAGGCCAAAAAAATTTCAGAACAAGGAAAAGGAACACAATTAAAAGCAATTATCTGATTTACTTTTCCACACTGAGCCAGTGAATATTCTATAACACATATTTCAATTGTTTCCAACCTTGCTACTTTTAAATAGTGGCTACTTGAAAAGCAGAAGAAAAATGTTAAGTTTTAGGAAGTGTAGTATTTGGCAACTAGTCACAGTCACTGTACACAACACATGTATGTTGATTTTGCAACTCAGAAGAAAAAATACATTGCTTTCCTTTAAGTATCTGACAACAGAAACTTGAAAACAGCATAAATTGTCATTAGCACACACAGTTTCTTTAGACGCAGTACTGTGTCCAGCTCTGGGGTCTCCAGCACAAGAAAGACATGGACTTGTTGGAGCAGGTCCAGAGAAGAGCCATGAAAATGATCAGGGGGCTGGAACACCTCTCCCATGAGGAAAGGCTGAGACAGCTGGGATTGTTCAGTCTGGAGAAGAGAAGACCCCAGGGAGATTTATTGCATCTTTCCAGTTCTTAAAGGGGGCTTATGAGAAAGGGAGAAAGATTTTTTTACCAGGGCCTGTAGTGACAGGACAAGGGGTAACAGTTTTAAACTGAAATAGGGTAGGTTGAGATTGGATCTAAGCAAGACATTCTTCATTATGAGAGTTGTGAGAGACTGCAACGGGTTTCCCAGAGAAGTTGTGGATGCCCCATCATGGGAAGTATTCAAGGTCAGGTTGGACAGAGCTTTGAAAAACCTGGTCTAGTGAAAGATGTCCCTGCCTGTGGCAGAGGGGTTGGGCTATACAATCATTGAAGGTACGTTCTAACCAAAACCACTCTGTGATTCTATGAAAATTAGATTCACAGAGGTCCACACTCTAGTTGATGAACACTAGTTTGATCCCCTGACCTTGTAGTTTCCATGGCTTAATTTTTACAGAATTTTTTTAAGGAAAATATTAACCTGGACTTAAAGATTGCTAGTGACTTTATCAGTGTTTTGTGAGTTGTCCTATGATTACTCTTGCTGAAAAACAGGCCTTTTGTTTCTACTTCAAATCTATGAATTCGAGTTTTAGTCTTCTTCCTTATGTTTTTATGCTGCAGTAAAAAATCCTGTTTCTAGACTGTGATTTTTCACTGATAAACATGTACAAGCAAATGGACTTGTTCATTGTTCAATGAACTTAAAAATACATGTTTTCTATTCATGCTGTTGGTTTTTTTCTGAACATCCCCCAGTTTATCTGCATCACTTTTATCTGTGAACAGTAGACAGCTTTCAGGTAAGATTAGCAGCAATGCCAAACAGCTATTGATACAACTTCTCTATTCAAGTACTTTCTGTTTATACATTCAACAATTGTGACACTAGAATTTGCATTGGGAACAATTGTTTAATTAATTACATTTGCACTCCTAGCTCTTCTTAATTTTCCAACTCCCATAATGGACATGCCCATTCTATAAATACAGCAGTTGTGATTTGCATTCTTATAATTTTCAGTGGATCATATTAGACTACAATAGAACTCTAGAAAGAGAATTTCAAGAAATCCCAAATCAGATTTCTTACAGAAGTTTATTATATCAGTATCAACACCTAATCAACCAAATTTATATTTCACTAAAAGAAAGTTTGATAGGATAGTTTCAGATAGCCTCATTTCTATAAATCCACTTTTATTGCCACTATTTTATAATATTTCAATATCTTCATTTAAAAATAATAAAATAAAATAAAATAAATTTTTAAAATAAAATAAAATAAAATAAAATAAAATAAAATAAAATAAAATAAAATAAAATATTATTCCATTTCAGGACAATGTCAAGTTTTCTTTGAGTTTTTTTAAATTTTCTCTTTGTTCTTAAAATCAACTTTAATACCTAGAGACCAACACAAGAGGGTTTCATGTTGCATAGTAATATTATTGCAGAAGTTTGTGACTGGAATAAATAACACACATAATATTCACAAATTCTCTTCTGTTAAAAGAATACATGCCAAAAAGTTAAAAAGGAAAGAAAAAAATCTAAAGCAGTATTTTTCATATGGAAGTCTTGAGGAGCACATCCTTTCTTCCTTTGCTTTTTAAATATGACCAATTTAAGTGGCTCTCTACTGCATAAAACTGGACATAGCTCATCTATAATAAAAAAGCAAAATGTAAATATCATTTCCCCTAACTGCACTCATAAGTTTAGGACTATTTAAATTCTCTAATTTGAGTCTAAATTCTCAAAGTCTCAGATCTTTTTAGATTAAAAAGTACTAATTTATGAAGCAAAAAATATATGTAAAACTAGATTTTTGAAACTCTGTAGTATATACACTTACATAATTATATATAAACAGAGTAATTTATAGCAGACAACATAAATTTTTATCCCCCAAACTCATTCTTATACAACTTATACATTCTTATACAACTTATAAATGTCCACAAAATCCTGTAATCTGAAGCCATTAGTAGAAGACCTTTACCATCATTTTGCTGATAGTATTTGTTCATGCTACTTAGTTCTTAAAATCTTTTTTAGTACACTGTTATATTATAAGACTGCTTAGCACAGAACTTTCAGTCATTTTTTTACTTGAATATTCAAACAGGTAAAAGCTTATCATATATTTTTAAAAAGCAGCAAAATTGCTACAGTTTCTATATATAAAGTTGTTGAAACTCATCTAAAGTGAAAATCCCAAGGAGGACAATTTCCTTGAAGAGCAGAAAGTAAATGCTCTATATCTGTTTACATTTCAATATTGCAAAAAAATAAATGTGTTATTTAGTCTTAAGAATTTATATTCTAAATTAATCCTTCCCATTTTATAAACTCACAATTCTTAAGATGATTATTTATGTTCTACTGTTTCAGCTACAACATACAGTGTCTTCATCCTCAGGGCATCTGTGTCGGTGTATATGTTATTACAGTGATTATTTACTTTCAATAGGTCTATATGTAAATTAGTGGCTGTTGCTGTCAACTTGAAAATAAATACATTGGTTTAAAAGGTGAATCAGCATCTTATGAAGGCTCTAGTGCTCTTTGTTTTATCCCTGGTTACTGGGAACAACTACAATAACAAATAAAAAGATTCATTATTATTTTGAAGTGCTTCTGGCCATTTAGGGTTTCCAGTATATTCTATTCAGGTGGATAAAAATAGAGTGATTCTGATATTCACTAGTGATTTAGAAATTTTTTGATCTTCAGAGCTGAAGACTGAGTAATACTTTTGTAGTGTAGGAAGGAGTAGAATCTGTGAAAAGAGAAAATAAAAAAATACATCTCAGACTTCAGCTATGTAAACCAACACAAATAAATGGAGTCCTTGGCTAGAAACACTGAAATTTTGTTTTATTCCAAAGGTAGTCTACAAGTGATTCTGTGCTATCTTTCAGAACTTCTAATGGCTTGCATTATACAGAAGCTATTTCTTCTCCAGTCTGCTTTTCAAAAGCATGTATTGGCATAATCTGTAGCACAACAGTTCAGAAGCAGGAAATCCAAGATTGATTCATGATCCAACATCACCATAAAAAGCATGGAAGTAAGTTTGGTCTAGGAAGGCAGAATAGTGTATCCCTGAGCTGCTTTGTCGCAAAGGAGTATAAAGCTGACCTGTGCCTGACAGTGCCAGATCCAGGTTTCAGGCAGCCTGGCAGCCATTACCTTAGAATCCACATTTCACAAGTATGTAAATACAACTCCACCACATATTTCATTAGTATCTCTAAATCCAAATTATGATCTTAGTTTTTCCTCCATTCCTTCTCTCCATTCTAACCACCGTTTCTACCATTGTTAGAATCTGGCACTTTTATAGCAGACTTCATTTTAGAAGTAGACTGCTTGAATACTCAAGTATACAGTTTACAGACATTAAGGAACAAAAGTCCGGTATCAGAACATGAAAAGTATTCTGCAACAACATCCTGTGGCCTTTCTCTTTTTCCAGGTCTTGTAGGACCACTTACATGAAATGCAAGGAATGAAAATATACCTAAGATTCATTCCGCAAAAATTCTTTTCTACACACAAACCCTCAAAGAGATTTAAACAGAACCTATAGAGTATTTTGACTCACAGAAAATATTCTCTTTGTTTCCTAACACATTTTACTAAACAAACCTCAAGAGATTGAGAGTTACTTAATTATGGTAAATATATAACAGAATAGCAAAACAAAGTAATATGTAAACTTTCAGGTGCTGCACAATAAAGACAACAGCAGTGATTTTACTACAATAATTTTACTACAATAATTTTACAGTCGTTAAACAATAAGAACAATGATACAGATACTCTGTTAAAGAACATTCTATCAATGTGAAGAGCATTTCATATATATACACTGTCTTTCCACTTAAGGAAGAGAAGCACTTCTACAGGAATTCAAAATCACTAATGCTAATCCCAAGAGAGGTAAGTAAATCTGGAGAATGAGAATAACCATTGCAGACATTGTCACTGAATTAAGGTTAATGCATGTACAAACACACCATTAATTTTTATACATTTGTTCAATACATACTGTTTTGGTTAGGGCCCAGATTTTTAACAAAACACCTTCAACATTTTCACCTTTAGTCTTATTTAATATCATAATAGACAATTACAGTTTAAGGTTATATTGCTTATACTCTTAATACTCTTAAAAATTAATGTTCCTGGTGTATGTCTGCATTTATATCCATTCTAACAGGAAATTTACTGCAAGTTAACACATACCTCTTTCCTTCAGATCTTCAATGTATGCTTTCATAAACTCTTTCTCAAATTGTTCCCGTTCACGTTCACTTTCTCTAATTTCTTCAGTGTCTTCACATACAATAGTTTCAACTGGGCTGTCCTTCAGACTTATGAATCTAAAGAGAGGTTAACACAAGAATATATGCAGCAGGTTTCTGAAATCACTGGACAACATGAATGACATTTCAGAAGTTGCTACTATAGCCAGAAGGGGAAACATAAAGAACATTTTTTCAGTTTTTGCATTATAGCATTCTTAGGTTCCACCTATTATTAGAAATAAAGATTTTAAATTCACCTTCTCTCTTTTCATCGATCTACTTAGATCATTATTTGTAATAATAGGTATATTTCTTTATTATGGGACTTCTGACAGACTATACCATAATTTCATAGGATTATAGAATCATAGAATAGTTTGAGTTGGAAGAAAATGTTAGAGGTCATCTAGTCCAATCCCCCTGAAATAAGCAGGGACATTTTCAAACAGATCAGGTTTCTCAGAGCCCTGCCCAACATGACCTTTAATTGTTAAATTTTTAATGTTACCAGGGATGGGGCTTCTACCACCTCTCTGGGCAACCTGTTCCAGCATTCCACCATCCTCAATGTGAAGAATTTCTTCCTTATATCTAGTTTAAATCTACTCTCTTTTACTTTAAAACCACTACCCTTTGTCTATCACTACATGTCTGTCTCCATCTTTCTCATAAGCCCCCTTTAAGTATTGGAAGAACTCTAGGCTGAAGAAACCCAACTGTCTCAGCCTTTCTTCATAGTAGAGGTGTTTCATCCCTCTGATCATTTTTGTGGCCCTCCAGTGGACCCACTCCAACAGATCCATGTCTTTCTTATACTGAGGACTCCAAAGCCAGATGCAGTACTCCAGATGGGGTCTCTCCAGAATGAAGTAGAGGGGCAGTCATTCTGCTGGCCACACTTTTGATGCAGCCCAGGATAGGATTGGTCTCTGGGCTGCGATCACACGTTGCTGGCTCATGTCCAGCTTTTCATCCACCAGTACTCTCAAGTCCTTCTCCACAGGGCTGCTCTCAATCCCTTCGTCCTCCAGCCTGTATTGATACTAGGGATTACCCCAACTCGGGTGCAGACCCTGTACTTGGCATTGTTGAACCTCATAGAGGTTCACATGGGCCCACTTCTCAAGATTTCACATCTGTTAATGAGCAGTATGAACTCCATCCTAATAACTTTACCTAGCCATCTGGAATTTTGCCAGTATCATTTAGCTGACAATATATGTCTCAATTTTTGGTAGTTGTTATGTTGCTTCTCTTTTATAATACATGACTGGACACACAATATGCCCTTTCTACAAATTTTCTAAAGCTACACATTGCAGGTGAAAAATTAGATGGTTACATCAAGAACTTTAACATAAAGTGCAAGTTAGTCGCACAGCATTCTGAAAATCTCTGATTGTATTACCAAGGAGGAAAAAAATAAAAATAAAATTGTTACTTTCAAAAGAACAAATGTTCCAACAAATCAAATGTCTTTTTAAAGCCTCATTAATTGCTCTGAGTCTGTGATTGGTTGACCTTGGCGGGCCAGGTGTCCACCAAGCAGCTCTCTCTCCTCCTTCTCAGCAGGACAGGGGAGAATATAAGATGAAAAAGTCATACACTGAGATAAACACAGCTTAATGAAGAAAAGCAAAAGCCATGTGCAGAAGCAAAGCAAAGCAAAAAAAATATTTTCTACTTCTCATCAACAGGCGATGTCCAGCCACTTCCTGAGAAGCAGGGACTCAGTATGTGTAGTGGTTGTTTAGGAAGAAAAACATCCGAATAAGAAATGCCCCACCTCCCTCCTCCTTTATCTTAGTTTTTATTGCTGAGCATGACATCATATGGTAGGGAATATACCTCTGGTCAGTTTGAGTCAGTCGTCCCAGCTATGTCTTCTCCTAACCTCTTGCTCATCCTCAGCCTACTGGCCTTTGTGGGAAGGGTTGGAGAGACAGCCTTGATGCTGTGCTAGCACTGCTCAGCAGTAGTCAAAAACTTTGGTGTGTTATTAACACCTTTCTAGCTACAAATACAAAGTCCAGTACTATAAGGGCTTCTATGGGGAAAGTTAACTCCACCCCAGCCAGACCCAGTATATAGTCTCAAATGGTTTCATAATGAAAGACCTGAACATTGCCTGCAGAAAAGCAATTGCAGACTAAAAGGCCTTTTAGTCTTATCCTCCATGCAGCAACAAGATGGTATCTCACAACAAAGAAAATATAAACTACGAAACTCATGCAATACTATTTAGCCTTTCAGCTAGCCATGTCTCCAACTCCCAGCAGCATAATTTGACAGCACTGAACTTATCAACAGTTAACCGCCATACTACTAGTCCCACTGTGGAGCATAGCTTTGCAACTCCAGAGTTACAGCTACTATGACCAAATCTACACAGGAACAGAAGTTTAGGCATACAGATGCATAATGTGAGGAACTGGCAGATGAAAACCAGAAAGCTGTAGCTCCTCTGCAATTTCCAGTCTCTCCAGTGCCTCCTTAAGGGCTCTGATATAAATTGGGTCAGAATTTGACCACCAGGTATGGTAGAAACTGATGCTTGTGAAAATATTTCTCCTGGGTGCATCTATCTTACTTTCTTAAGAACATATTCCTTTCTCTCTCACTTTTACTTACTTTAAACCTGTGGTTGACTCACAGACAGCTGTGGGTATCTCAACTAGGTCATCACCACTGACAACAAGCAAACTGAGCTTTGGCATATTGACCAGAGCTCGTGGAAGGTAAGTCAACTTGTTTTTCTGTAGGAGAAGTGTCTGCAATTGATCTAACCTGTAAAAATATAAAATATAAAGATAACTTAAAATATTTCTTTCAAACAGGAGCATTTATCTAAAATAATACATCAATTTCAATGGAAACTTCCAGTCATGGTTTAACATTATATATATTAATAGTGTACCCCAACAAGTACTCAGAAGCATACTCAAGACAAAATATTACAAAAATTGCTGTGCTTTCATACAGAAGATGTTGACAGAATACGATATTAAGCCTCACTATATGTATCCCAGAACTAACGAAAAATAGGGATGACCAGCTCACATCTTTGCCCATATGCTGGTTTCTGTGAACTAGATATTTCTGTGCTAGGCAGTATATTCCCATCTACCATTTTTCACTAGTAATTAGTACTGTGGGGAGCAAGAGAAAGACCACCTCCTGTTCATACAGCTCTTGCAAGTTGTCCCACTGAAATCAATTTGATGACAGTGTTTTGTGGAGGAAGACATTAGGTTTCTTTTGCTTTGTTTCCCTTGGCTTTTCCTAATGCAATAGCAATTTGTGGCTGAGCATTTATTCCTTGGAGTAGATAGAAGACGAAAAGCACAGCAAACTGATGAAACAAGTTTGTCTTATTTGACCAGAAGTGTCCATTCCTACAACACTGTTGCAGACTATTGCTTATCAGGCCCATATTCTTTTGTTGGGTTTTTTTTTTAATTCAGGGAAAGATGAGGCTTTAGTTTACTGTCAACTTTTTTTTTTTTTTTTTTTAATCACAAACTTCATGGTAGTTCACTGAGGTTCTTTGACACTGCAGGCATTGAAATAAAATCTGAATAAGACCGTCAGTCTACTGGGAGGGGGAGGGATGGATATCCTGACATTCTCTCATCCTCAGACTGCCTATGAGCCCAAGAAATCTCAAAATTCAAAACCCAAAGTCAAACAAAAAAACCTTTATTTTGTGGCATCTGATTATGATGCTTTAGTATTGAGACTGGCAGCTCAGTAGGAAATGGAGAAGGTGAAATGTAGAAGAGAGTCTTTTGGAGATAAGAAATATAGATAGGTTACAGAGAAAGAAAATGACCCTAAAGTTGAGTGGGTATCCTTCCATAAAATAAAAATATCCTCTTAGAAGCTCTTTGAAGTTAACCAAATCTTTGCTCAGATCCCCTGAAAAAAATAGCAAGTTCATGCTGTTGTGGCTAGAGTATGTGAATTACAATACAAATTAAGATTTTAACCCTGCTGTCAGAGAAATCAGTGATTACATAATGTCCCAGAAAAGTCTTTTTGCCCAGCAACAAAGGTCTTGCAAAAGTTAAGGTTGAATGAGTTTTCTGCAAAGTTTCTTCTGCCCCAGGAATCCCTATTTCCAGATCAATGACCATTCATATTGTTAAAAAAATAAATGCTAGTTAATATGGGTTTTGGTTTACTTATGGCTGTGTGAAGTTTTGTAAACCAAATTACAACAGGACTTCATAGTAAATAAATAGGCCTGGGGATAACAAAAGTGCCTTCTCAGACTAGTGAGTCCCATTAAAGGGATCAGCATTATTTTTTTTTTTAAACTAATTCTAGTGGATCTCTAAATTGAAAGAGTGAGAATATATGTGCACATGCACATATACTTCTGAGTAGGAGGTAAGGATTGCCAGTGGGGTCTTATCAATATTTTTATGCTTTATTACCAAAGATTAGCAAGTTATTTGAGTAACTTAAATATGCTTTAATTAATCTTCCCCTCCACCCCACCTACCCTCCAAAGAGATACTGCTGACAATTCCATATGATGAGGCCAATTTGCTGGAACCAGGGCAGAGTATGCCCCAGGAATTTCCCTAATAACAATGTCTGGATATAATGACAAGTTACCATGAATGCAACAGAAAAGGCAATTAGTTAACTGAACAGTAGAGGCACTGACTGTGCAAATCTGCTGTCAATGAGCTAGAAAACATAGCTTTTGTTCTCTGACTTTGTTCATCAATAATAATGGTAAAGCTTACGTGCAAAACTATTTGATGCATATCCAAATATGAATTTTTCATGTGATATTTCATTAATGGTGTCCCTTGGAAGCTTGTCACTTTCTAGGTTTTCTTTATAGTTCACAACCTGTCAATGAATTAAAAACAAACTACCTGTCTATGTCTTCTGGGAGATCTTTCAGATTGTTGCTGCTAATATCCAACCATTGCAAATTAGACATCCGGAGTACACAAATTGGAATAGAATGGAGCTTGTTTGCTGACACGTCCACAATTGTGACTTGTTTCAGGTTACTTAGCTAGAAAGAAGTGGTGCTTTATTTTAGTCACATTTTGCAAATATAAAAAGACATTTCATTCATCAAACATTCTTATTCCTCTCAAAGCACTTAGACAGATAAGAATTGCATTATTTTTTTACTCAACTTTTTGCTGGCCGTCTCCCTTAGTCATCATTTTATAGGGAAAAGGATTTCAGACATTACTACCTCTCAAAGTGGTAGTCATTTTAACACTGTCATGGTATTGAATGAAGTTTTCATTCTTAAAAAACCTATAGTATCAGATGACACCAAGGCTGGAACCAATTACTCGATTCCTTCCTAGGTTACACATGAACTAAACTCTGAAGTGACTAAACACAGTTTTGATAGTTAACAGATGCCAGCTTACCATTCTCAAAATCAGAAATTTTATCATTCCTATCTAAAATACATAGATTTCCTTTGCTATAACTTTGTTATCCCTGAGAGTGTATTGCTAGGAGACCTTTAGAAAATGAAATAGACAATTTAATCCAACAGAAAATTTGGTCCAATATTTTTCAAAGATCTTTAAAAATACATCTTCCATAGCACAATGAAGGTTAACTACAAATATAAAATACACCTGTTAAAATATACCTGTTAAAATGTGTGTTAAATAAAGCTCTCTGTGTATTGAATCAATTATTCACACTACCAGTGTTCATAAAGCCATGCAGCTAGATAAAGTGCATGTCAAAAGAGTATAAATGTTAGCTAAAAAAAAGGACTTTAGGAAGGAAATTATGGTTTTGATCTTCTAATTATATGTAACTATCACAACCTAGTTCTATAGATCCTGATACAGAAGAGAAAGCAGCAAAAAAATTTCATTAGTCTTTGCCTGAATGTTTCTTACAATGTAGGAAATAATTAGGAACCAAAAACCCCAAGCCCCAAATATTTTACACTTGCAAAGTGAGAAAGATGCATAAATCAAGAAAAAAATAGAAAGTAATAAAATACATTCTGAATCTTTGACAAGGATTTTTTATATTATTATTATTATTGTTGTTGTTGTTGTTGTTGTTGTTATTATTATTATTATTTAAGTCCTGGGGTTTTTTTATTTTATGGACAAACTTCTTACTGCAATACTGCCAGACTTTCATCTTAATTTGACCCTGGCCATTTAGAATGCTCACAGTCACAGCCCAGCGCTGTGTCAAAGCCAGTTTGGTTTGGGATTTTTAGGTGGGGTTTTTTTTGTTTGTGAGGTGTGGAGTTTTTGTTTGGTTGGGTTTTTTGTTTGTTTGGTTTTTTTTCCAAATATAACCTCACATTGCTGACAGACTTTAAAATTTGAGGAAATCTTTTCAGGGAGATTTATTGAAATTATTGTCTTATGAATGACTACACAATTAAGTTTACCTTTCAAAAACATAATAGAGGATAAGAGTTTCTCAGGTCAAAGATACAATTTCAAAGTCTGCTCACCCTGCATTAAAACAGCTTTGTTGAGGCATTACTATGGAAAAGTCTCACTCATGATTCAGGACAGGCAAGAACACATTTTATTCTGACACTTCTCACTTCTCAACCATTATGTCATTTTGAGGACTGACTACTAGCAACGAACACTCACTCCTATACTGTAAATTTTTCAGATAGTGAATCTTTTTTCCAGTAAAACAGAACCTCCCTTTGAACAAGGAAATCAGAGTGGCTCTTCTAGTCAGTAGCAAAGAGAGAACAGAAAAAAAATAAAATGGCACTATCTTTACACTGTATTTACATCGTGGTTTAAAATTTTTGTCACAATTCCAAGTCCCAAGAAAATATTTAAAGTTTCTCTACACTCAGAAAAATTTGCTAAAACTGCTAATACATTTCTTTCAACAAACTCTCCCCAAAAGGAATTTAGTAGGCACACAACTAAAACAATGTCCCAAATGCTTAAATGCCATCCAAAATATTCTCAAATCATATCCACAGAAGAAAAGCCACACTCTCTAAACACCAAGCAGCAGATTATTTTAAAATAAACTAACATCACTGTTCATACAAGTTCCGAAAGACTTTGCTTTCACATGCAGTCATCTGTGATGCTGAAATAACTTGATAACATTAACATTAGGTGGTAAAATTATATTTCTTCAACAGCAGTAATTAGTTTTTTGTTTTCCTAAGAATACTTGATTGTGTTAAATATTAAAAGTAATATTAATATAGCAGTATTATTTTTTTAATAAACAGAGTTGTTTTTGACATTTTTCATATAATATTGAAAGCAAATTGTTTTAATATTTTATATTAAAATCTAGATTTTTCAGGAGTTTGTACTCCCATAAAAATGTACCAACAAAGTATAAGACCATGGATTTTCTTTACATAAAGTTTGGTTCATCATGCCACAGAATATATAGAGCCATGATTATATGGTGTAAGCCGCTTTTTTTAGGGTAATATTTAACAAAACTTGTCCATTTTCTATCGTATGTTGAGACCTAATGGAGTCTTCATTGAATCTGTTTTTGATATGTTGCCAACAAACATCTCTGATATATGATGCATTGGAAGTTATGGTATCTATGTATTATATTTTCTAAAGAAAACCCTGTGTATTTTATTTCTTCCCGAAGGACAGATGGAATTTTGCACCTTTTATAACGTTTCATTTTCAAAAATCATAGTTCCCTTATCATTTTTATGTTATAATTTATTTTTGCTTAATGTTGATTTTTGCTGTTTTCCTCTATTATGTGACTTTGAATCAATCAATATACAGGCTTTATGGAGGTTCCATTTTAAAAAATAGCTATATTTGACAGACTAGCTACCTGGACCCACTTTTTGTGGTCCTTATGTTTAATCACTGTTGTCATTTTTATTTGATAATCTGCCCTATTTTGTTTATCTTAATAATTTTGTTCATAGAAATAATCCAGACAACATTGTAGAACTCCATTGCTTCCTTTGAAAGAAAAGGACACCATGTCCTGGGCTGAACAAGTTATTTGATTAATGGATGTGTTTTTATTTCTGTTCTGCTTTTTGCCATGAAAAAGATTTACTGATAAGGTTGCATGCAAGTTTAACTTGAGATGCCTACCACTTAGCACCAACAAATGAAAAGGTGTAAAGTCATCTCAAACCTTACTACAAAAATACTGTATTTTTCAATTACATATTGTGGTGGATTGACCCTGGTTAGATGTCAGATGCCCACCAAAGCTGCTATATCACTCCCTCTCCTCAACCGGACAGGGGATAGAAAATATAACAAAAGGTTCATGGGTTGAGATAAGGACAGAGAGAGACCATTCACCAATTACCAGCATGGTCAAAACAGTTTCAACTTGGGAAAAATAAATTTAATTACCAAACAAATTAGAGGAAGATAATGAGAAATAAAACCAAATCTTAAAAAACCTTCCCCCACTCCTCCCTTCTTCCTGGGCTTAACTTCTCTCACTATTTCCACCTCCTCCCTCCCAGCTGCACAGAGATATGGGGAATTGGGGTTGGAATGAGTTCCTCACATGTTGTTTCTGCCACTCCTTCCTCCTCAGGGGGAGAACTCCTTCCCCCACACCAGTGTGGGTCCCTCTCACAGGAGACAGTCCTCCACAGCTTCCCCAAGGTGAGTCCTTCCCATGACTGACAGTTCTTCATAACTGCTCCAGTCTGGGTCCTTTACATGGTGTGCAGCCCTTCAGGAACAGACTGCTCCAGCGTGGGTCCCCCACGAGGTCACAAGTCCTGCCAGCAAACCTGCTCCTCCAGCATGGGCTCCTCTCTCCACAGGGCCACAGGTCCTGACAGGAACCTGCTCCAGCGCAGGTTTCCCACTGGGTCACAGCCTCCTTCAGGCATCCACCTGCTCCAGAAGGGTCCTCCACGGGCTACAGGTGGTCATCTGCTCCACCATGGACCCCCATGGGCTGCAAGGGGGACAGCCTGAATCACCATGGTCTTCACTACAAGTTGCAGGGAAATCTCTGCTCTGGTGCCTGAAGCACCTCCTCCCCCTTCTTCTTCACTGACCTTGGTGTCTGCAGAGCTGTTTCTCTCACATCTTCTCACTCCTCTCTCCAGCTGCAAAAATGTGCAAGTTTTTTTCTCTTCCCCTTTTTCTTAATTATGTTATCATAGAAGCATTAGCATCATTACTGATTAGCTCAGCATTGGCCAGTGGTGGATCTGTCTTGGAGCTGGCTGGCATTGGCTGTGTCAGACATGGGGGAAGCTTCTGGCAGCTTCTCACAGAAGTCACCCCTGTGTGCCCCCCGCTACCAAAACCTTGCCATGCAAACCCAATACACATGTAAATGTTCTGTGACAGAAACAGTATCCCATCAAAGTCAATGTGACAAGACACATGGAGGATTAACCCACAAATGTCTATCAATGCATTACAAACATTATTTTGCTCAGAAATGTCAGTTGCAATGAATTCAAATAAGATTTGTATAGCTTCAATAGGAAGAGATTATAACATATGTCCTCTCCTAAAATGCGTAGATTGACACTCAGCATCTCATTACCTTGCTGAAAGCAGTATGGTATATATGACAAAAGAGCACCCTAGGTACAAACTGCACAGTTGCCCACTTATGTCTCATGCATTCAAACTAAATGCTCAGATTTCTTCCAAAGAACTATTCCAACCACTTCTATAAGCTCATTGACACTCCTGAAGAAAAGTACCAATTAAAGAAACAAAGTAAAAAACAAAGTAAAAACGTCTTTAGAGGCAGAAGATACCTTTCATCTTTAGCAATAGGACAAGGGGTAATGGTTTTAAACTAAAAGAGGCTACATTTGGACTAGATATAAAGAAGCAATTTTTTACAGCAAGAGTGGTGAAACACTGGAACAGGTTTCCCAGAGAGGAGGTAGGAGCCCCATCCCTGGTAACATTAAAGGTCAGGTTGGACAGGGCTCTGAGCAACCTGATCTAGTTGAAGATGTCACTGTTCACCACAGGGAGATTTGACTAGCTGACCATTGAGAGAGGTCATTGACCTGGACAAAAGACGACCATCAGCCTAAAC